TTCAACATCTGTAATCCTTGTTCAGACACTCAAAACCATTCTCCCGCATGACTGCCATCATGTTTTCCCACTTCAAATTACACAACTCCATCTAATTATCCTACCAATTATATTATATAAATTCAGAAATCTCAATACTATCCATATAATCATGTAAACACACCTGCTATTCATAGTTTGATGGAGGATAAATTGTAATCAATCCCAAAGTCAATTCAGGTTGTTTCTCCTATTTAAATATCTCTTCTTATATATTTACTAAATAAAAACTTCACAAACACCAGTCAAGTAAGTAAAATTTTGAAACTGGATTGGATTCTGCATTAAAAACACTTTAAGGGACTCCCTGTGGCACAGGCGGTTGAGCACAATGCTGTGAAGCTGTTCACAGCCTCTGCAGCGCGGGTTCGATTCCCGGCTGGCCAGTGAGAGACTCACATGGTGCGGCAGACCTCTCCTGTCTCACCTGCTGCTCCCCTCAGCAGTGTATTTCAGTCAATCTGCCTGTTTTGCCCCCTGCTCTGTCTCTGGTGAATCCTCTCACCCTCCCGTGCATCTGGCCTGTACCGCAGTTCTTGAATGCATGAATAAATAAATCTTAAAAAAAACACTTTAGGTTTTTCTCCACTTACATAAAGTAACATCTTCTTAGGAATTTAGCTATATCATTCTACTATTTAAAAATTTACTGTTTTTGACAGATCTCTATAGAGAACAATTTGCTATGATAAAAAGGGTAGCAAATCCAGAAAAAAATCCAAGTACGATGTCACAGAGTTTATCACCTATGTTTTTTACTAGGAATTTTATGGCTTTAGGTCTTTAATCAATTCTCAGTTAATTTTTGCATTTGGTATTAAGATAAAGATCTAGGGCCTCCCTGGTGGCAAAAGGGGTTAAGACGCAACCTATGAAGCTATCAGCTGCCACTGTAGCACAAGTTCTATCCCCTGGCCAGCCAGGGAGCAATCCACATGGCACAGCAGACCTCTCCTGACTCACCCGCTGCTCCCCTCAGGAGTGTACTTCGGTCAATCTGCCTGTTCTGTTCCCCACTCTGTCTCTGTGAATCCTCTCACTGCCCCCACACCTCTGCCCTGTACCCCAGCTCTTGTATGCATAAATAAATCTTTATTTAAAAAAATAGAGATCCAGTTTCATTCTTCTGCAGTTGCTGTCCAGTTAGCCCAACACCATTTATTGAAAAGACTGTATTTTCCCTGTTGCATTTTCTTACCTCGTTTTTCATAAATGAATTGACTGCAAATACATGGATTTACTTCTCGACTATTTATTCTATTTCAATGATCTATGTCTCTGTTTTTACACAATACCATATTGGTTTGATCACCATAGTTTGAACTCAGTTTGCACGATGCCTCCAACTCTGTTCTTCTATCTCAAGATTATTTTGTCTATTTGGATTTTTTTGTAGTTCCATATAAATAGTAGATTTGTTTTATTTCTGTGAAAAACACCATTGGATTTTTGATAAGGATAGCATTGACCCTGTAGATTTCTCTTGTATATGGACATTTTGGCAATATTAATTCTTCCAATCCAAGAGCATGGAATATCCTTCCATTTATTTGTACCATCTTCCATTTCTTCAATCAGTGTTTTATAGTTTTCATTATATAAATTTTTCCTTTACTCAGTTAAATTTATTACTAGGTGTTTTATTCTTTTTAATGTGATTGTAAATGGAACTGCTTTCTTAATTCTCCTTCTGATAATTTTTGGTATACAAAAATGCAACTGATTTTTGTTGATTTTGTATCTTACAACTTCATAGAATTTACTCAGTTTCAATAGTTTCTTGGTGGGGTTTTTAGCATTCCCCTTATTTAGTTATTCAATTATATATTTAACAGCATCAACTAATGTATGTTATTCTATAGGTTATAATTTATTATTGCCATTAATCATTTTCTTGCTGAAATTATCCTAACTTTGACTATTAGGAGTCCTTTAAGTTCGCTCCTATGTTGTTTTGACATTCTGCCATCACTTTTTGCATACTTTCTTATTTTCTGGCACTGCAAAATGTTCCAGTCTCATCATGTACTTTCCCTGCCCCAAATCTGTATTCAGTCATTTCTCCAAGTGCTTACTTTTATTAGGGAAACTATTTCCAAATCAAGGCCTGGGCCCAAGATACATTGATTGCACTTTGCCATTATGTCTTTCTTATTGCTTCTGGACCCTCTCAGCAGACAGAGCTAAGAAACACACACACACCCCTTTATTTTTATTTTTATTTCTACCACTATTTATTAAAAACTATTCATCTGTCCAGATTCTGCTCTAACACCTGAAAATCCATTCTCGCATCCCCTTTCCTATATTTGTAACTTTTTCTGTAACAGTGAGAAACTTCTCTCTCCTTATATACAATAGATTTGTTTATTTGTTCATGCTTAAGATAACCATTAAATTATTTCAGAATTGGTAATCATGCCCTAGAGCACATTATTTAGGTGTAGTTCTTTTTGTTTTGAGTTTTTGGTATACAATCTAAATACTGTTTTATATATTACTTAGATAAGTGTTTTATTCCTCATCACTCTGAGTGTGGTTATAGTTATATATAGCTAAAGTTACATATAGGTGTGGTTATAGTTTTCATTTTGGGTTCCTCCCACATCATGGTTGATTTTATTTCTATATCAATTAATTATTATTTCTGAATATTGCCATGGTGAAAGAGAACTATACTGTAAGGTTTCTTAAGAAATATCACTTCTTTCTCACACCTTTTATTCCAGTCTCGTCCCCTGTTTTTGATACTTATTCTTACTGATATTATGTATGTTAGCAATCTGTGTAGTTTCTGGACTTTATGTTAAATATTTCTTTTTGAACACATGAGCAGATAATACATAATTTCTTATATCATATTATTTCTTACATGAGACATCCCACATTCTTTTTCACACCTAGCTTTTCCAGTAAATAATATATCCTATAACTCTTTCTATATAAATTTCTAGAGATTTTTCCTTATTCTTTATTTTCCAGCTGCACAGTATTTTATCATGTGACTCTTCCATAGCTTATTTAATCTCCTCTACTATTGGTGGACATTTTGCAACTACAAACAATGCTGTAATAAGTAATTGTGTACATATATATTTAATATTCACTGGAGGGTCAGGTTTGAGATTAAACTTTTGGTCTCCTGAGGTCTGTTAAATGCTGTTTGGGATCAGATGATGCAATATGCACAGCAGACTCCTGTCTCATCTGCTCTTCCTCTTTGCAGTGTATTTCAATAAATCCACCTGTTCTGTTCTCCACTCTGTCTCTGGTGAATTCTTTAAACCCCCACATCTCCAGCTTATACCCAATTATCTCCCATGACTTAAATAAACTTTCCTTTTGCTTCTGCTACAGAGGTGGCTTTGAATTATTCTTACACCATATTCAAGCACCCAAGAACACCCCACCCAACAAAACAAAACAAAACAAATGATGCAATATAATTTAATTTTAAAAACTAAGAATATTATATAAATATAGCAAAATAATTCTGTTGGCATTATTTCCTTTCTTTTGTCTAACAGTAACTTTTTTTTTTTTTAAAGACAAACAGTTCATTTCAATAAATATTTGTCCTCAGCTACTAGGTCAGATGATTACTTTAGAAAATTTTCCATGTTCAATCTCCAAACATACTTTATTCATAAAGAATTTTCTGATATTTACCAGTTTCTACTTTTATAGTGAATATATTATTTATACAGTTTCTAGTCCTAAAATGTCCACCATCATAATGAACTATTTCCTCTATTTAATTCTTGTGGAGATACAGAAATTATGTATTACAGTCCCAATCTGGTTCCTTACATTCTCTAAGTATGGATGTCAAGTACAGTGTAAAGAGAAAAGATCATGAGAAGGCAGGAACACTGTCTAGGTTGTATGGCAAAGAGTTAACTCTTTAGGCTTAACTCTATAGGCTTACGGACTTCTACCTCTTAGTTGGAGGAGTTGCACCCAAACTCAGTTTCCTTTAGGATTAAGCCCCTGAAAGGTCCACGTCCTGAACAGCTGATAGTTTGAAATAAACAAAGGATGCTACATAATCTATTTAGAGTCTATTCCTAGTCCTACTGCTAACCTGGATTCCAGGAATTCTTAATCTAGGTCAGGTTAGTTCATCAGGAGATTGCCTTTGGATTTCAAATCCAGGAATTAAAGTGTTTGCTTTGTCTTGTCCTTCATCATGGTCTAAAACGATTTATTTAATCTGCCATAAGGCAGGCCTCCCTGGTGGTGCAAGGGGTTAAGCACTGCACTATGAAGCAATCCGCAGTCTCTGCAGCACGAGTTCAATACCCAACCAGCCAGGGAGCAACCCACATGGTGAAAGCAGACCTCTACTGACTCTCCCGCTGCTCCCTTCAGCAGTGTATTTCAGTCAGTCTACCTGTTCTGCTCCCCATTCTGTCTCTACTGAATCCTCTCACCACCCTCATCTCTGGCCTGTGCCCCAGCTCTTATATGCATAAATAAATAAATCTTTTTAAAAAAGTCTGCCATAAGGCTATTGCCAAATTCAACTGAGTCTCACGAAACTACTTGTTGAGTTTTGGTGAGATGCTTGTTCAGGATTCTGCACATTCACCAGCTTCAATTGAATAAATATATACAGCAGAATTTCAGGTCTGGCAACACGTGACTTACAATATGGCTTCAAATGTGTCACAGCTACTTAACTGATTATGTTACTGATGATGTATAATTCAGAGACAAATTTGTCAGCAGTAAGTAGGGGCCTTGCTGTCTGGATGGGGACTAGTTCATAGATTTTTGAACTTGCAACATCTCCCTCAAGTCAGGAGAAGCAGATAATGTTTTAAATCACACTGTTGAACCTAATCTTTTAAATACGATAGTATTATAGTTGATTTTTAATTTAAGCAACTATAATGAAAACAAAGTTTGTCACAAACACAGAGAACAAGCTTCTAGGTGGAATATTTTTACGTTCTTACCTCCTCGATCTCGGGCGGCTAAACTTTGACCCCTTCTTAATGTAATGTCCAACTGGTACATTCCGGGATCACCCAAAGGGACATCTGCATTACTGGTTCCAGCGGTATTTATTTTCTAGAAACAAAAGAAGTATAGATAATATTAAATTTATTATTTCTGTTTGATTTCCTCCAACGGGGGGGGGGAGGTGTGTGGGGGTGGGGAGGGAAGGGGGCATATGTAGCTTAACTCAAATTATAAGAATTAGCAATTAAACAAATCATCTTATGAATTCACACAATAACATGATCATCCAGCTCTCTGGATGTGTTGAAATTCATTAAATTCTATAGGCTAACATTACAAATATGGCAGCTACAGAAATCACTGTTTTTACTCAGAGTGCAAATATAATATGAAAAATATTTTCATAGAAAGTACTACATGATTCAACCAAAGAGATTAACATAGGAATAGTGCTTGAAGTAAAAATACAATTAATGATAAAGGGAGAATAAAGGTATACAAGGGTGACTGATTTCCATATAACTGAATATGAAATTTAAAATGATTTATTCAGGTGACTTGTTTGAATCATTTATCTAGGCAACAGAAAAGAGCTCATACTGACGGATTACACACTTCTATTTCAGCCCCAACATAAAATATTATGTAATTATACAGAAATAAATTCACCCAGCATTTTGACAGTATTTGCATAAATTCTCAATTGGGCTAAGTTTCTAATGCTACTTCCCTGGAATAAATGTGCATAAGTTCATTCTCGAACTAAAAATCTTTGCAAGGTTGCCTCTGTAGAATATCTTTAGCAACAATGCACTCTGTTAATTCACTAGGCACTGAATTACAAAAGCACTTGTAAGAGGAGTCACTATATTAAAACCACACAAAAGGAACATATAGTAAAACTTGTGCAGGTCAAATTTTATAGCTTCTGCGCACTAGAATACAATAGAAAATTTTACTTTTGCTCACTTGAGATGATTTTAAATTCTTACATTTTTCCAATTCAAAAAGAAATGCTCTTGCTTTGGAATAATTTACATGAATAAGGTAAAAAAAACATAGACACCAGTTTGGCTCTGTCAGTTCTAAAATTCACAGGAAATGCAACTACAAAGCAGCAATTTAAGAAACATATTTATTGAGATATATTTCATATATAAGAAATTTACCCTCTAATTAAGCAGCATTTGCCCCCAAGATTTGAAGATTGAGATAGGGAGCTTCCCTATAGGAGTAGTTATTATTTCAAACAAGAAGGAAAACAATTTTGATTGATAAACCAAATTCATCATCTCTCCTCTGGTTACAATAAACAATAATTCACTTCCTTCTTAAGATTCTTCCTTCTTCCTTCCTTTTTCTGTGAATGACAGCACCTAGAAATCCATGAACCATCCTTGACTTCTTCATTTCCCTCCCCCTGCATCCAGATATTTGCCAAATCCCACTCACTCCATTTCACATTACATTTTTCAGGGTTTTTTTTTTTTTTGGTTGTTTTATTTTTTGAATTTCTACTACCACTACTTTGAATTGGGCCTTCTAATAGCAAAGGAGCAAAACATAATATTTTCTTGACCTTTCCTCAAATATCAAATTGCCCCAACTCACTGAGTTTTCCTATTATGACACTTTGGGAAACATCCTTCTACAATATTGATGGTCTTATACAAACAAATACACACGCATGTAGTTTTATTTTACTGAGGTTGAGTTTTTGGTGATTTTTTTTCCTTAAACAAAGACAGTGTTATATTTTGCCTATTATTTCTTCTTTTTTCCTTTTTTAAAAAAAAAGATTTATTTGTTTATGCATACAAGAACTGGGGTATAGGCCAGAGGTGGGGGGCAGGGTGAGCAGAGTCACCAGAGACAGAGTAGGGAGCAGAACAGGCAGACTGACTGAAATACACTGCTAAGGGGAGCAGTGGGCGAGACAGGAGAGATCTGCTGTACCATGTGGGTAACTTCCAGACCAGGGATCGAACTCATGCTCCAGTAGCTGAGGATTGCTTAATAGTGCTGATGCTTAACCCCTGTGCCAACAGGGAGGCCCCTATTTTGCCTATTATTCCTCAATATACTTAATAAAAATATCATGGGCACACTTCAAATTTGGTTTGCTTTGTTTTAAGCAAACCAAATTTGTTGATGCACATGAGTTAGCTTCGGTATTTGGCACTGCATGGACTGCTGGTTTTTTTCTCTTATAGGGTGATTTATTTTCTTAAAAAACTTAAATAGCTTGAACTCCTGTTGACAGCGTAGAAGGTGCCCATTTCTCATATCCAATTCAGCATAGAATATTACTAATTTCCAAGTTTGATAGGAAAACCATGTTGTCTTCCTTCAGCGTACATCTCCCAAACTATTGGTAAGGTGTCTTGAAACTAATGTAAATGGCACACAAAGAAGATGCCAAGTTGGAAAGAAAGGATGCCAGCCAAGGTTTTCTAAACAACTTTTAAAAGAATGATTTGCATGTGGGTTCAACTAATAAGCAAGGTTTAAATTCAAATGCAGCTAACTTTTATTAAACTCCAATTATACTTCACTAAGGTTCATACATGGACATAGTTCCAAAATAAATAACTCCATTAATAAATATTAAACATGGTTTTTCTATTTTCTAAAATAGTTTTGTTATTTTTTTAAAATGGTCTAAAAAGTTTTACTATTTTTTTAAAATGTATAATAAAATCTGTAAGAAAGAAAAAATTTCTGTCATTCTCTGTTAGAGTATAAATAGGTACATTAAAGGCAGAAAAATTTGAATACTCAGATATCTGTATTTTTCTGTTTGAACTTTCTTTGCTCTTTTCAGTGCTTCTTAAATATTAAAGGGAATAAAAATTTATAGAGTACTTCATTTTATCTTTTTAAATGCACGTTATCCTATGGACAAGTTAAAGAATTTTCAAAGGTAATTTTAACTATTTTAGATGTTTCACTTCTGCTGTTTAGAATTTAACACGTAGTTAAGAAGTAACTTCAGTGGACTTATATTTATTGTTTTTTAAAAGCCTGCATACTATTGTACTGTGTGTATGTATATTTATACCACATTTTTTCCATCCATTCATCTAGTGACAGATATTTAAATTGTTTCCATTATCTTGGTTATTATAATGCTATAGTGAACATAGGAGTATAGATAACTGTCAGAGACACTGACTTCTTTTTTTAAAAGATTTATTTATTTATTCCTACAAGAACCTTGGTACAGGACAGAGGTGTGGGGGTGAGAGGATTCACCAGAGACAGAGTAGGGAGCAGAACAGGCAGACTGACTGAAAAACACTGCTGAGGGGAGCAGCAGGTGAGTCATATTTCACCCTCTGTCCCTTATTTTATATAGACTAGTAGTTCTCAACCATGAGGGCTTCAACTAGGCCCTGGAACTCTTTAGGGGAACCTACACATCAGTATATTTTTCTTACAGCAACTCAGTGAGTCCATGTGCACCCTAAAGACCCGTTATGCCAATTATAAAAGCAAGTCTGGGGAGGCTTATACACAAAGAATTTCTAGACTTTTCTTATTTGTGTCATAAAACACCTAAGAAATATATGTAGAAATCAGTATTAGGTCCCTATGACTTTAAGGTCTACTGTTTAGGAGGACTTCTTACCTAAATAAAGAAAGCTTCCACTGGGCCTCCCCCGTGGCGCAGCGGGTGAGTGCTGGGCTGTGAGGCTCCCAGCAGCCTCTGCAGCGCCAGTTCAATCCCCGGCCACTGGCGAGGGTCCCACATGGCGCGCAGACCTCTCCTGCCGCCCGCTGCTCCCCTCAGCAGTGTGCTTCGGTCCTTCTGCCTGTTCTGCTCCCCACTCTGGCTCTGGTGAATTCTCTCACCCTCCTGCACTTCTGATTGTACCCAGTGCTTGTATAAATAAATAAATAAATCTTTAAAAAAAAAAAAAAAAAGAAAGCTTCCACTGGTGGATATAATGATACTGATAAATGTGAATTTGAGGGGGCCAAGTGGCCTTCTTAAGATTTTTCATTACAGGCAAAAAATGGGGTTACGTTTGTTGGTTTGTCCCTATTGTTAGTAGAAAGTAGAGTCTTTGTAGTACTCTACAAAGAAGAGAATATCTGGATTCCAGATTTTCTTGGGTGCCTCTAATATGGCCATGCCAGTGAATTGTGGATGATTCTTTATTTCCTATGTATTTCATATATTCAGGCCATGCTTTCCCCTCTTTCTCCATGGCACATACAGTTTGCACACAATGTCTCTGTCCTGCTAGCTCACCACCCAGAGGTCAAGAGGGGTCAATGCCCTGCAGTATTAAAGGAGAAAATCTTTGTGTTTTATGAATATTTTCAGTATTTGGGAAAAAAGGGCCTCCCCGGTGGCACAGAGAAGCTGTCCGCAGTCTGCGGTCCATCTGCCTGTTCTGCTCCCCTCTCTGAATTTGGTGAATTCTCTCACCCTCCCGCGCCTCTGGCCTGTACAGGATTGCAGGACTTACTAAACTAGCCTTCAGTTAACTAGAGAGATAAGGTGAGTAGGAAAGTATATTCCTCTGGCCATATTAAAGTTTGTGATTGTTTGTTATAGAACTGAACTACAACTCTGGGTTTAATTCTGGGATTTTGATTTTGCAATTGCCCAAACAGAAACAGCCTATAAATACGCAGCACCACTGAATGACAACATTTAACTGCTGGAGAAAAAGTACAAAATTCAGTACACCCAGAATGTCTTTCTGGGACTCCCACAACACTGATTACTCACTCTTGGCTTGTCTGCTTAATTGACTGTTCTGTACAGCATCGCCTTATTATCACGGTGACTTTTCCACCTACACATACCGTATATAAAATAACCTGAGCCAAAGGAAAGCAATAAAATACTCTTTCCTCAATTCTTATGACACAGACCACCCCCTTTTGGAATCAGACCCTTTACCAGGCTTTGTGTTACATGATGAAAATTTGATGCTGAGAGGGCTAACATTTCACTTCAATCAATAATACTTATTGCCTCTTCACCTTTGTTTTTGAATCTTTATTTATTTGATTTTTTAAATGAAGTACCATTGTTTTATATCTGTTAACACAGATATTGTTTTATATCTGTTAACACAAAATATAAATAT